TTAAAACTATTTTATGCTAACCAACTGGATTACCAGGAAATTTTAGGTTTTTATTAGAGGCTAATACCTCTATTTGATTTTACAGTATTGGAAGGAAATTATTATTTACACATAAAATACATGTAATTAATACATACACGTGACACACACATAATTTAACATGAATACTGTTTGGCTCATCCTAAAGGGCTTAAAAAAACTTACACTCTTTCACTTCATTAAATTTTAAGATTTCTATGTATATTTTAGAAAGATACTTTGATCTTGGATTTGAAAATGGCCAAAAATAATCTGCTGGTGGAAAAAAATAAAGTTCCAGTAGAGAACTATGAATTAATCCTTCTTCCAGTCATTCAACTAATGTTTAATTACTGATAATAAAATGTTTATAAGTGACATGCTGGTTACATTTTTAAGCATTAATCCTTCATACAAGAACCCACAGTGGAATAGCCCTAAGCAAGTTATGCTGTGGTATAATTAGCCCTGTGCAGATTTAGAATCATGCCACAGAAGCAGAAAAAAGAGAAAAGTGAATTTAAGACTGTAGTTTAAACAAAGAGTATGACTTATAATATACTCTTTGGTTTAAATACAAATTCTCATTCAAATGCCTAGGATTAACCACAAGCTAGAGGTCAAAACAGAGTTGTATAGTCAGCCTAACATTTAAAAAAAAATTACTGCTACTTAATCATTACTTTCAAATGGTACATTTTCCCACACTTAAGCTTTACACAAATTTTCTCCACTTAACAACATAAACAATTTTGAATCATTTAAAAAATAACTGGTGAATAATTTAGCAAGTAACAACAAAAATATTCTAATCTCTTAAAATTAGAACATTTGAATTATAATATTTTTTGCCAGTTAATTTCACAGTGCCAGGAAATCTATAAAATATGTGTAGATCGACAAATGGTGTTTGTTCTCAGGAATACACAATAAAGAGGCATCTCTGTTCTTTGTTTCAAGGTACATACTGGGGGAAAATGCATGAAATAGAATAATATACCTTGGGAGCTTATTAGGACAGTCAGCATCTTAAAACTAGGATATTGAATTAATTCCATAATCTAAAAATTTAGACCACCAAATACATAAATATATATCTATATTTATGTATATGGTATCACCTGAAAGAATACTAAACTTATGAATAAATGTTTGAGAGTGTAAAATTGTAATACTGTAAATTCAAAGACAGTAAAACTTTTTTTTTAATTTCTAGATCTTTTTTTATGTTATTCTCATCCACTAGCAACACACAACTTTGAGGCCCAGGAAAGGGAAACCAAGATCTCTCTCCCAAATGTCAAAATGTACTTACACAAAAGACTAGGACCTCATTGTCTTCCAGTCTATGACTCTCACATGCAGCAGATACGTCTTTATCAGGGAATTCAGATGCACTCAATTACTACGTTCTTAAAATCCCTGACTGAAATTATGTAGGAAAGAAAACAAACATATATCATTTATTTTACAGGTGTTTGATTTAGGAAAAGTCAAAGACAGGACAAGACAAAACAAAACAAGAGACTGGAGTCTTGAGGTAAGACTGTATTGACCTCTAAGCAGCGCAATCCACTGGCAAATCATTCAGCAAAGTGTAACTGGGGCTCCAGTTACTCTACTCTAAAAATCAGAAAGGACAAAATGAGGGGTGACATCGATAAGCACAAGAAACCCCACTCTGAAGATTTCTGGTATGAACCTCACAACTTCCAGGAGGGGTGGAGGGGCACTTTGCTCTGCTGCTCCCTCACTGAATAATTAAACCCAGAATTTCCCCAGGGCATTGCCTTCTACAGAATTTTTCTCCATATTTTTTCCCTGGTAAAGTAAAACTGAGTCTGCAGAGAGCAGAATAGACATCCTTGGATTCCCAGTGAGTATCAAGCATTTGCCTGCCCAAGGCCTCCCCAATCTACTAGCTGCAGACCAACCATAGAAAGCTACAAACCAGGCCAAGGACTGAGCCGCTGAGCTTTCTAGGTTTCCTGGTCAAACACAAAAGAAAAATAAAGTTGGGGGTGGCAAGAAGATGGTTGCCCGCACGGGTGGTGCAAAGTTTCAAAACTAGTAAAAATCTATCCTTCTGTAAAATTAAGAAAAGTCAACCCGAAGGTCCAGCTTTCACCTTGCACTTTAAGGGTGGGATGGGGATCACCGCCTTGTCCACAATGGGGTTATTTCTAAGGAACCCAGGGGAGCTTCTCTCCTTCCCAGGGATGGGTGAGGGGCAGGGGCAGGCATGCATTTATTCTGTTTGTGAAGGTGACGAATGAAAATGTGATCCTAAGTTTCTCAGGGGTGGTTTATTTCCTTCGAGTTAATAAAATTAAACCAAGTCCCCTGTGAGAACAAAGACAGGATTTTCTGATAGTAGACCCGGTGCTCTAGACACTTCTCAGACCTCTGCACACCTGGGGTCCAAATACAGCGTCTGGCAGAACTAAGACTCTGCTGCCCCTAACCAGAGCCCTTTAGCCTCCCTTCCAAGGTGCAGCCAAGCCAGGATTTGGGCCCCAGTTGCCTGAGAGCCCCAAACACGCAGAAGCCAACGTGCCCTCTTCTCTAATATTTGCAGAACTATTATCGAAAAAATGGGATATTCTCATTTCCTGGATAAGGAAGGTAGACTTGAAAAATTAACACGACTTTGCTCACAAAAACTAAGGGTTAAAACCCAGTCTTCCCTGAATTCACAGTTTTCAAACTGTTTAGCAAAAGGGCGGAGAGGCACAGTCCCATGAGGTACGGGCAACTTCTCACCTCCAGTGGCTAGATGCAGGTGTTGGGGTCCTCTCTGGGCTCTGGGGTTGTGGGGTCTCCCAGACTTGCGGCTTCTTCCGGACAGAAGGAGAGCTTGAGGCCATTCTGCTAAGGGGATGGGGGGGGACATCCCCAGCAAGGGGATACTTTCCTTCCCTGACCAAAGGTGCGGGGACGGAGAACAGAGCCTTCCCCCTTCTGCTTCACCCCTGCCCGATCCCCATAGCCCGCCAGGTTTTCTACACTGCGTATTTGGGGCACTTTGTGTGCGATGTTTCTCACTAAAAGTTGTTCGTCAAGGGGATTCATAAATCACCCCAAGCTAGAGAAGATTTGTGCTTTGACATTATCCTCACCGCCCTCTTTATTTTGCCCCTGCCTTGTCGCATTTCAAAAAAAAAAAAAAAAAATGAACTCTTAGAAAAGAAAGCCTCTCCGTGGAGGCAGCTGGCAGTCTCACAGAAATGATGTAAATGGTTGCAGATCCCACCCCCCACCTCAGCTATTTTTTTCCGAGTGAACTGCGAAGATCTGTGAAAATAATATCAGGGTTTTCCGTCAGAACGAGCTTTGCCCTGCACTCAGGCATAGCATAATCTGACCCGACACCTCCAACCATCTGTGCTATCTATCCGCCTTCTGATTTACCAGAGCTGTAGAAGCCGCATACAAATTGTACTTGATACTAAAGAAAAGACACTGGGCCCAGTCCAGATCTGTGGTGAACATTCCTATCTGATTCCTTTAGGGATGGATCTACAAAGATGCTTTTTCAGCCATTTTCTTTGGAATCCGCTCTCCCAATTATTTTCTTCCAACTAAACAAGCAAGCCCCTATCAAAGGGTCAGGTGAGATCGTAGTTTCTTTTGACAGAGACCTCAGAAAATGGTATGATGTGGATGTCAATTGGTAATCAATAAAAGTTGCCAATTCAATCTGTTGGCGCTAAAGGCAGAGCTGCCAAGAAAGCCCTTCCTCTCTGCAGGGGAGGTCAATGCTCAGCAGCTTAGAAAGTGCTTTCTGCCCCCATTCCCATTGCTGAGGTTCCCCCTTCTCTATTTTACTTGTACTGAGTGTCTTTGGGGCAAAAAGGCCAAGGTTAGAGTTTCTATCCCCAGCTCAAGAATTAAATGTTCCAACACAGGGTAGGGCAAAATCAGCCTGCAAGAAGAGCAAATCAATATTTTAAAAAAGATGTTTGAAATAAGCTTTTAAGTTGCTGTCCTGACCTACCAGTGACTTCTCACTCTAGATGTGGCTATGCTGCACATTTGTTCAAGTCCATTAAACTGGGGAGAGGAGAATGAAAAGTATAAACTTTGGGAGGGGGTGCAGCGCCGCTTTTCCTGAGTGTCTAACTTCATGGTCAACACCTGTGTTATCAGGTATGGGATTTGTTCTAGTTGGTATTTAAAATTATTTCAGAAGGCTTTCAAAGGTGTTGGGAATAGCTCGAACTGACCTCTTAACAGATCCCTGGTCCTGTTCCTTCTGCTTCAGACTCACTTCCCACTCGGCTGCTTTGGCAGCTGGAAAAGGGGGAAAGGCATGCGGGATAGGTGCTGGAGGAAAAAAATGAAGTATTCTACTTTCCTCCCTCCCCATCCGTGCGCCCCCCCCAAAGTTTTCTGTTTCATTACAATTACACTTGGCGAATTCTCGGAGGATTTCAATTTGGCCCAGTCCTCATTGTCCTCTGGAGACCTCTTGACCCAGGCAGCGCATCACTCCAAAGTGGATTCCTGTAGCACTACTGCCTCTTTTGGCAAGGGGGTTGGGGATGGAAGAAAAAGGCTGGAGGAAGGAGTTGAAACGCTGCTGTTCTTGCCTCTCTTTTTCTCCTAGCCATTCTCCAGTCTTTTCCTCCTCCAGATTCTGTAAAATACCGAGGAAATGTCCACGGGGGAACGGCGGGCGCTGTCGAGAGCGGGGAGGTGCTGAAATGACCCGGGCGCGCTGGTCGCAGTCTTGATTGGCAGAGAGGGCCGGTGACTGACAGGGGGTCTCCATGGCGCCCGCGCCGCCAATCCGCCCATTCTAGTAGCGGCGCCAGTTCGCCGGCCTGCGTGCCCTAACCGAGCCGAGCCGAACCTAGGCTGCGGGGCCGGCACCTCCTCCAATCCCTCCCGCTCGCTCGCTCCCAGCCGTTGAGCCGCCGCAGCTGGCGGGGCAGTGCGTCCCTGCTGCCCTAAGCCGCTTCACGGAGGAGAGCCTGGCGCACCCGGCCAGGCCCGCGGGCATCTGCTGCGCGTCCCGCTCCGCGCTCAGCGTCCCCATTGCAGTCGGCACTGCCTCGATGTTCCAGCTGCCCATCTTGAATTTCAGTCCCCAGCAAGTGGCCGGGGTATGCGAGACTCTGGAGGAGAGCGGCGACGTTGAGCGCCTGGGTCGCTTCCTCTGGTCGCTGCCCGTGGCCCCTGCGGCCTGCGAGGCCCTCAACAAGAATGAATCGGTGCTGCGCGCGCGAGCCATCGTGGCCTTTCATGGTGGCAACTACCGCGAGCTCTACCATATTCTGGAAAACCACAAGTTCACCAAGGAGTCGCATGCCAAGCTGCAGGCGCTGTGGCTAGAAGCGCATTACCAGGAGGCCGAGAAGCTGCGTGGACGGCCCCTGGGGCCGGTGGACAAGTACCGTGTGAGAAAGAAGTTCCCGCTGCCGCGCACAATTTGGGACGGCGAACAGAAGACACACTGTTTCAAGGAGCGCACGCGGCATCTGCTACGAGAATGGTACCTGCAGGACCCATACCCCAACCCCAGCAAAAAGCGTGAGCTCGCCCAGGCAACCGGACTGACCCCTACACAGGTGGGCAACTGGTTCAAAAACCGCCGACAAAGGGACCGGGCGGCTGCGGCCAAGAACAGGTTGGTACCTAGAGGCCTACACGCCTTGCGCTGCTCAGCCGGGTGGGGCGGGCCAAGGCACCCCGGGCGCTCTTACCCCGGGGGCCGGGCGACTTGGATCCCCAGGAGTTGAGAATTCAGTCTGTCTTCAGTTACAAGCCCACTGCGTTCTGGGATCCTGGGTGGAGAGGAGGGGGAAGGTTTCCTTCAGGGCTCTTGGTTCTCCATACTCTCTCTCGTTCTCGGTGCCTGGGGGTTGCTTCACCTGCTAGTTCCAGTCACCAAACCAAGGCTGCATTGGGAAGGAGAAAGAAATAAAATTAAAACCCCAGCAATAATTAGGGACCCCGAGGCTAATTCTTGTCAACCTGGGCCCAGGCTCCTAATAAGTAAAGCCTGGCTTATTAGAGATATGGCAGGTCACTGTCGTCATTTTAAAAGCCCAGATGAATTCTCCTCTAACGAAAACAGTTTTCGATGGACTTCTGGATGGAAGTGAGTTCTGTTTTTTTCCACGCGTGGATAACCTTGCCTCAAAACAGCAAACTAGTCAGCTGAGGCTTTCCGTTCCGCAGAGTGGGGATCTAAATTAGCTAAACATTGCGGCAAGGAACCCAGCCTCACCCCCCCAGGCCCAAACGTTCCGTGCAGTCCTCAGGCAGCCCTTTTTGCTTTTAGCTTTGGTCTGATCCGGCCCCGAGGGCACTGACACGAGCGAGCGCCGGGAGCAGGCGCCCGCTGGGAAGGGGGATCCCAATCCAGGAGCCCGATACGTCCTTGTCACCCACAGCTCATTTATCTTGACAGTACTGTAAATCTCCCAAAGGTGACAAACAACCGCGAATGATCCTGTGAGCCCAGCATCTCAGATGGGGAGCCGAGAAAGGATTCGGAAGAAGGATGAGAAAACCGCAGGGCTACTTGGGGAGGCGGCCGCAGACTCCGGCCTGTCCTGTTGCCTCACTTGTCCCACTTAAACTGCCCGGGTCTGTGGGAGATCCGTGGCCGCTGGGCTTAAGGGATGCAGACCCGGGGGGAGGGGGGGGCAATGGGCGGCTGTGTTACGCGCTGTGACTGGTATCCCTTTCCTTTCTGTAGACTCCAGCAGCAGGTCCTGTCGCAGGGGTCCGGGCGGGCTCTAAGGGCTGAGGAAGAGGGCACGCCCGAGGTGCTGGGCGCCGCCGCCAGCCCGGCCGCCAGCCTATCCAGCAAGGCAGCCACTTCGGCCATCTCCATTACGTCTAGCGACAGCGAGTGCGACATCTGAACTGCCCACCCAGCACGCTCAGAAACAGAATTCAGTGTAAAAACAAGACAAAATGAAATAGGGAGGGAAGTTGAGAAACCAAGCAAACCCAGCGCTTGTGAAACCAGGTGGCCAGGGACCCGTGGGCTCGGGTTGCCCATTTCCGCCCCACGCGCCGGCCTGGCTCCACTGGCGCCCTCCGGCCGCTATCACAGGGGTCCGCGGTGAGGCCCAACCCAACGCTACCTTCTCCTTGCTTTGCTTTTTCCCAAGAATTTTGCTGCAAAGATGCCTCCGGAATCCGAACTGCACGCTGAGCGCCTGCCCTAAATCTCCCGTGGGTATTTCACGTCGAACGGACGCTGTTATATATGTACAACTTTTGCTTTAAAGGTTTTTTTAAAAAACAAAACAAAACAAAACATATATATGCTGTTTATTTACTTATTTAAGAGACTGCCCTGATAGGTTTCTCTGTATCTTGGGAACTTGCTGTTTCTAAAGGGGCATGGTGGAGCAGATGTGGGTTCCGTGTGAAGAAGCCAAACAATAAAAACCTGGTGAGCAACCTTTCTTAATTAAGTGAGATGCTCTCAGATTCCTTAAAAAAAAAAAAAAAAAAACAAAAAAAACTCTTCACCAGGTAAGCAGGAGCCCTTGTGCAAACAGTCTCAGGAGAATCTTTTCTCTTTTGCATTCTCTGATGTCTCCTGGTTTATATTTTTTAATGGCCCATGGTAGATCCATAACCACCTGCTCAAAAATTGTCTGTCTGTATGTATATACGTGTGTATGACATAATTAAACCTAGAAAATGGCAACATGAGCATCCCGTATAAGGCAGCTCCACACATCCTCAAGCACAGGTTATCTATCTGACACTCACTTTTATGAAGTGTCAATGGCTTTCAGGAACAATTTAACAAGCCAAACTCTGGGACTCAGTCCTGAGTCCTATTGTATAAAAATGCAAGAGTATTCTGATTTAGGCTCAGCAATTAGGAAGGTTTTTGGTCTCCTTTCAGGACCCCTCCTATACAAAAGCAACAGGCACCCATGACCATGCTAGAGTATGTACTACATCTAGGATTGAACTCCTATTAAAATAAGACAAAAGATAGGAGAGGTTTTAATAACTAAACTAACATCTTCTTGATGAAGAAGCAGATTTTAATCAAACACACTTTCCACAAAGGGATACTTAGATGAAGGAAAGGATGTAATCAGACATATTGAGGTGAAATAGAAGGTTGCAGAGAAATGACTGGCATTTTAGAAGTCTGATATCCGTATTAAACATGAAATGAGTCATCTAGAGCCAAATTGTCCTGTAACTGCCTCAACTGAAACTATCAAATATTCTTAGGATTTATTTGTCCTCCCAAAGTGTGTAGGTACATGCAGGCACACACATACCAAAAAACAAAACAAACCCACTGTTCTTGCACTAAAAAAGTATATCCAGAGTCTTTAAAGTTCTTTTTTTTTTTTTCTGGTGAAATGGGTTGTATATTATAAAATTTGACACTGATCTTTAAATCACTTAAGCTGAACTTCCCTCCTTGAGCTCCTCCTGCCACACACACACACACACACACACACACACACACACACACTGGACTTTCAATTCACCTCTCTGTCCTTAGCAGATGTCCTTTGGTTCAGAAGCCTACTAACTCATTTGGGTAGAAGTGCCAATGTGCAAACCAAAAAAAAAAGTGAAGTCATGGAAGACAAAAAGCAGTCAAATGGCAAGATATATGAGAGAAGCCCAAGACATGAATAAGGTTGGTTTTTGGTTTTTAAATCACTTAAACAGATTTGGCCTCATTTGGGCTTTATAAATTGTTGTAATTGTATAGAGAGGGGCCCTTATCCAGAGAACTGTTAACAATCAAAACTCTCCTGCACAAGAGCTCTAGATAGAAGGAGTGGGGATGTCTTTGTGATGGAGCTGGTGTTCCTCAGGAAAGCAAGCAAATGCCTTTCTGTGGATCCGGAAAAGCTAGGGTGGTAGAGCTTTGGAAGACTCTTATTTTGTTTCCTAGAGCCCACCCCCCACCCCCACTTCCTTGAATGCAGAGGTGCAGGGCCAGGATTCCTAAGAGGCAAGGGAGGTACCTAGAGTACAAAATTTAAGGAGGCATTCATTCATTCACTCTCAAGGTCAAGCAAGTACAAAGCATCTGGGAACAAGTGCCTCCTTAAATTTTGCACTGTAAGTGCTTCCCTTGCCTCACCCTCATCCTGAATCTGCCAAGGAGTATTGCACTTCAAGGAAAAATCAAGAGATTTCCAGTCTTGTTCACCAGACCTTCTAGGTACTAAGCAAGGAGCTATCCAGATCAGCATTTGGAGAAGATCCTTAGCAAATTTTCTCTCTTAAGCTGTTTTCAGGTCTAAGAAGGAAGGGAAAGGACTAATTAGCAGAATGATGTAAAGGCAGTTAAGATTCTAAAAATCCCATTCCACTCACCAGTTCAATTGATGCCTAAAGGGAGAAGAAAATGTCCAAAATCTTTTTGGACAAACAAAGGGCTGTACTGCTAAGAACTAAGCTATCTCTTTACAAATAATTTTTAAATAACCCTTATGGCTTGGCAAAAAAAAGAGAAGACCAAACAGTTATGGAGGACTTTTCTTCCTGCTTTAGCCTTTAAAGTACAATTTTCCTTTCAATACATTCAATTTGCTTAAAGTAACATGTTGTCTAAGGATTACATTATAAAGCAGTATTCTGTTTCACCAATCTGTAGGTTTATTTATCTAATTTCACTTTAGAATCTTAATGGGTGACATATTATTTTAAAGAATTTTTAAAATGTTTATCTGAAACCTGGTGGCACCTAATTGCTCTCGTGAGTAATCAATTCCTTGATGATTACATGTCGGAAATTGGTCCAAATCTTCACACAGATATTTATGATAATTGGTCCAAATCTTCCCTTGGGCAGGTATTGTAAAAGTTTTCGTTTTCTTTCCAAGATTTTTTTTTTTTTCTGTATCAGTTTTATCCCGGTCTAGAAAGGTTTTTGTTTTGTTTGTTTTTAATTCCAGGTAGTAGCAAGGCTGAAGGTTTCCGACTTTGGAGAAATCTCCATATGGTGGGTTTCCTTTCGGTCTTCTGAAATTTATTTCCTGTAACAATTTCCCAAAAAGCAGTTACTCCAGCAGAGTGGAAAGAAGCTGCATTTCAAAAAAAAAAAAAACAAAAAAAAACAAAAACTGACCAATGTGTGCATTTAACCACCAGCCCCAGCTCAGGCTTTTTTATTGGTTATAAGTATTTCAACCACTCGCCAGTTCTACCAAAAGAGCGATGGTCGCTTCCTCCACTTTAAGGACCCACTTCGCTTCCACCCGCCGAGCACCCCCCTCCGCCCCCTTTCCCTTCTCCAGTTTGTTTATAAAAATCTGGGAGGGAGGGAGGGAGGGAGGGAGGGAGGGAGGAGGGGGGGTGAGAGGTTGGGGTGGGGAGGGGGTGTGGGGGGAGGACTTGCTCTTTGTTTACATTAAACAAATGACAGGCAAAGAGCTCAATCAAAATCTTCCTTGACCTCGTTCTCTCTCCCTAATTTTAACAAAAAGGAAAAAAAATATTGTATCCAAAGAGAACGTGAGTGGGGGGGCGGGGAGGAGGAGAGAAGCAGCTTTTCGCTCTATTCAGCCGGGACGCGGGAGCGCGGACGATTTCCGCTCCCTTTGTGAGGCGGGGCCCGGGGGCGGCCGTGAATGGGGGGTCCGCCGAGCGGCCCGCGGGGCTGTCAGGCGGCTCAGCGTAATCAGGGCTAATGACGGTGGCCGGGCGCTCCGCGGGACAAAGCGCGGGGCCGCGGGGTTTTGTCGGCCTGAATGGCTAATAGGTTCGCCTGGGGGTGCGAGGGGGGCGGTGTCGGGGAAGAGGCGGCGGCGAGGGGAAAAGGGGTCATTGTTCGCGCACCGGCCCGGGCGCCGAGGCGCGTCCGTCTCCCCGACTGGAAGGCCGCGGCCGGGAGGCCCCCTGGAGGCCTGCTGCGACGGCGCGGCGGGAACGGCGGGGGCGTGGGTTCCCCGTACGGGAGGCCGCCCCGACACAACTCTGCTCCCCCGGAGAAGCCCAGACGGGGGCCCAGAGTGCCCCGGAAGGGGTGTCCCTCCTCCGGGGTCCGGGTCGCACTCCGGGAGGTGACGACTCCACCACACACCCACCTTTTCCGTCCAAGCGCCCTGGAACCTCTCAGACGCGTAGGCCGCGAGCCACTCCTATTGTTAAGAGCCCCTGACTCAAACAGCTCGGGGAGAGGAAACCTCTCAGAACCCGGGGGGACGCGGGGTTAAAAACCGAGGCGCGGGGATAAACAAAGGCGCGCGCTCGCCCCCAGCCTCGGACGGCGCGGCGGCTCGAGCGCCTCGTGCAAGACCGCGCGCCGCGCGCCGCGAGGCCGCAGCGCGGGTCTGGGCCTGCGCGGCTGCTGCCGCGCGCGTCCGGCTTGCGTGTGAGGAGGTTGCGCGCCGACGGCCGCTCGCCACCCGCGGCGGTAAGCGCCTGGGGGCGCCGGGGCCCGAGCGGCGCGGCTGTCACGGCGGGCTGCCCGAGCTGGCCGAGCGGGGGCCGGCGGCGAGCGGCGGAGGGCCTCCGGACTCGGGCAGCTGCGGCCCGGGGCGGAGCGCTTGGCGCGCCCTGCAGATCCCCGCCAGCCGTCGGGCCGCCGACCGAACGCGGAGCGCTGAAAACCACCGGCGAGCGGCGGCCCGGCTGCACTCGGGCGGGCCCCCGCCGCCACCGTCGCCGGGTCTTTCGGAAGCTTGGCGGCTCCCACTCCGGCTCTTCTAAATCCCCTCAGGTTGGATCACGCCTTGCAGCTCTGTTTGCTAGGATTTGTATTCCCACACGGCTTCAGGCCTGCCCTACCGCAGGGGACCGGTGGCTGGCGGTGTCGCGTTGCGTGGAGGCCGAGGGGTGCGAGGGCGACCCCAGGGCAGAACACGCAGTTTGACGCCCGTGCCTCTGCTCGCTGCGGTGGCCGCTGCCTCTGCGGCCG